GATCAGAAGCCCGCAGGGTGACAGGCGAGATTTCAAAGCTGAACAGCCCCGTGTGAAGCGAAGGCTCCAGGTGCAGGGGGCGCTGCTACATGTCCTAGAAATAAACCCGGTTTGGGCAAACGGTTGAATCCCCCGGCTGCCTTCACCGGAAAATGCAGCATCTGCAAATTGATGTCAGCTTCCAACGTTTGGAAAAATGTTCTTTGTGAATTACATCGGATGCCCCTCCAAATCAGTGTTCCAGTGGAAAGAGGGTCACAAAAACACATTTCTCTGAAAGAAAGCTGTCAGGTTGAAGAATCAATTAGATAATTTCCATTTCCCAGAGAAAGAGAAGCCTTCACACCCCAGGAATTATTAGTAGGTAAATTTCAGAAAAAAGTTAGAACAGGAGGCACTAAATTCGTGCTAATATGTGCTACTATTAAGTGCCTCCCAAGGAAATGACATGAAAAGCTGGTTAGACAGACGTAAGTCTAGACAAGGGAATGACGGTTCGTTATTTCTCATTTCTTGGTGAAAAAGAAAAATAGAATGTGGCCAGGCTGGCATTAGCATAATTCACTCTGAAAACTGCTGATCTATGCAGCACATTATGAGAGATGGACACTGAAAATAAATTCAGTCGGACTGTTTATTATTTGCTTCCCTGTCTGCAAGCAACTTGGGGAGAAAGAGTGGGTAGCACAGATGAAAGCCAAGTTCAGCTTCTGCCATTTGTGTGGGAGCTATGAAAGGAGCATGCACCTCGCAGGGGAGACGCCTTTTTCAAAGTGCTCCCGAGAAGGGCACTGGTTCGACTTAACATATGGCATAAATACTATTAATTCACAATGAAGCAGAGTCTAAACCAAAGTGGGAAGAAAAGAGAACCGTTGTTAGGGGGAGAAGATGCTTGTTGTTAAGTCTCACCAGCAAGACGGCACCTGCCCAGATAAATCTGAGAGTAGAGATTCTCGCCTTTTACCATTGAGTTGCTGCTGGGATTTCTTGGTACATTTTAAAAAGAAAAGTCTCCTATCAGTTTGCGCTATTTTGTCTACTTCTTGCCCCCATCCTTGGTTGTGACAGACACTAGATGGCGGGGAGGGGGCCTCGTTGCCGGGTCCGTCTGTTCTGGTGGCTCCTGTCCCCACCTGAAGACACCCTGTTTCATTCTCCTGTTCACTGCAGCTCCTACTAATGGCCTTGGCCACAGATTGCAAATGACGGCTGCAGGACCTAATAGTCTCTAACGTCACACAAATCGGCTTCTCGTGCAAATTTTCTTAATTATGGAGAACAAAGGGAAGGAAATCAGAAAGCCTATTACAGAGAGGCAGATTTGTAGTGATATTTTCAACCTCACCCCCCGCTTCATTCCAAGAGCCGTTTGGTTAGGCCTCTTCTTTGCTTTGGACCAGTCTCGATTCTGTTTTCTCTACAACGCTGTGTACTAACGAAGCAGCCCTCCTACCAGGTCCTCCTTGGCTCTCAGACTGCAAGTTAACTACTGATGGCCTCTATGGGCAGTCATGCCTTAACTAAATCCACAGAGTATTTAAAATTATTTTTTGAATTGCCAACTTTAACCTTTATATATATTGAGATTTTACAACAAAATTAGTGTGTTCATCTTCTTTTGAAAAACCCAAAGTTCTGGTGACAATAGACCTGTGGATAATGGCGCTTCCCTTAGGCCTGCACCCAGCTGCCCAGCCCTGCCCTCCCCACCCTTTCACAAGTAGCTCGCTTATGGCTACTCACTTTGGCTACCCCTGCCGGCAGCTGCGATTCCCAGGGCAAGCTGTTTTTCCTCCTCCCTAGTCCTATACTGCAGTAGAATTTTATTAGGATTGAAGAGGACGCTTTCCAGGCCTACTGTGGGTCCCTGCATGCTTCCCCAGGGCCCGAGTGCTCTCCTGACCAGGTTAGCCTGGATGATAAGCTTCTGACTTCCACACCTGGGTCACACCTGCAGTCCTTTTTCCGGCTGTTTCTCCTGCCTGCATTGTGTGCATCTCCCCCTCACAGCCCGGAAGACTCCCCTGTATAGCTGCCCAGACTCTGTCTCCCCTGGATTCCACCAGGTGGACAAGGATTCCCCTTTCTCACTCCTCACCCTCTGATCCCAGCCCCGCTGGGGAGACCTCACACCCTGCCCAGACTCTGCCAAAGGATTGCATGGAGTTATTTACTGGTCATGGGCCTCTGTTAGACTGGGATCCTCTGGGACAGGCAGGGTTCTCAGTCTCTCTCTGAATGCCCAGTGGCTTTCAGGTGCTCAAGGAGAGGTGGAGACAGGGTAGATCTTGCAGGGCCAGGGCTTCACCCGGAGCCAAGAAGCTACCTCTTCATTCTTTCTGGCTTTGAACTGGGACTTTTGTGCAATGGGGCAGCGACTAGGGAGGGGCCAGGAAGTTCCTGCCTTGGCTCCAGAAGGGCAGCGGCGGTATCACGCAAGAGAAGAATCCTAGCTCGCCCAGCCTCATGGTCTGCCTGGGTCCCTGTGTCTTTCCACAGTGCCTCAAAAGGCTAATGATCTGTGTCCTTGTCTCTAAGCTATTTCTCTATGTTCCAGGGCCCAAGAATCACAAAGGAGAGGGACTGTCTACTTCTTTTTCTCTGTAATGGGATAACAATATGCACAGTTAGAAAAGGTCTATTTTCCTGGATTCCTATGCAACTGGCCAATAAGATGGACAGTAGAAGTCACTGGATATGATTTCCAGGAAAGATTTTAAAGGGGTCTAATTCATCTGGCAGAGACCTTTGCTCTTTCTCCCTTCTTTCTGCCTGGAACTCGCTATGATGACTGGACTTCAAGCAGCCATACTGTGACCATAAGGCAACCCTGATAGGTCTCTTTTGGTGAAAATCAAATGCATTTCCTAAATGAGTCAGAGGGCATTATGTTAAGTTAAGCATTTTTAGGGCAATTAGTTAATGTGCCTTTTTTGAAAATTTCCACAGCTTAAGACAATTCTAAGTCTCCCATTTAACAAGCAGCTCCCATGAACGAGGCATCGGGTAGGGTGCTCTCTGTATATTATCTCCCAACCTCGTGGCAACTGTGCAAAGCAGAAATGATCATCTCCATTTTGCAGCTGAGAAATTGAGACTCAGAAAACAAGGGATTTGCCCAAAGCCACACAGCTATTAAGTAACATGCTCCGTTCAGACTGTCTGACCCCAAATCCAGGCAGGGTCCTTTGACTTTCCTTCCCCTAACATCTCCCACCTCCCAGATGAACACAAAGTCCTTCTCAAAATCACCCTGCAAATGCTGCTTCAGGTTGCCTCAGTGGCAAAGATCGCTGCCAGTATCTGTGTTTATCACTCTATGAAGAAAATCAGAAAGAGCTACTTAGAATCGTAAGCTTTATCTGGAGAAAACCTCTGGCAAAAATAGTTTCTGACCCAAGGCTTCTAATTCTTTGCTTTAGTGAATAAACTGTGAAAAGTGTGACTCTGAGGTACAAGCTGGAAATATTAAACCAATGACAAGAGAATGGCAGCTACACTGAGGGTCCTCAGAGACCTTTTTTGAAGTGCATGTGCTATTATTAGTGGCCAATGAGCGATTTCCTGTTGAAGCCAATGCCTGGCTACTGGACAGGTCCAGGGTTATATGTTTGGCCATACTTAATGGTGGGAACCTACTTTGCACCTGACTCTGTGCAGGACCCCGTGTGTGTGTGTGTGTGTGTGTGTGTGTGTGTGTGTGTGAATTTACATAAATATACACACATTTTCATGGAATTCGTTGAACATTGTAGGAAGAAATCAACACTTATTGCTCACTGACCACACACTACGTGTTTCTGTGCACCCTTAACTATTCTCACTCACACACACAATCTTAGGGCATAGGCGGCTTCAACCCCATTTTACGGGACATACAGGAGAAAGTCCTGGGAGGCTCAGGGAGGGTCGGAACCCGCCCTAGGGTTACACAGCCAAAGTGCTTCTATATTGCCCCAAAGTGCCCCTCGGGGTAGAGGCCAATTAATGAGTAATCTTGGGAAAACGAGAGGCAATTTCTCACTTGGCAGGCTGCAGTAAGAATACTTCTTTGTTATCATATGTTTTATCTTTAAAATTTATGCAAATTTTGTATTATGCTCTATAATATAACCATGTTATTTTTATACTAGAACAAATGTATTAAATTATTTATTGGCTGAATTATTTAGCTTTTCCCTCCTGAAATTGACACTTTGGAAGGCTGTGCTTTGTTGCTTTGCTGTGGCTTTGTGAATACTGAACCCACAGACGTGCACCCCGGGGAGAACCCCAGATTAAGATGCACAAGGTCTGCCTGACTCCAAGGGGCAATTATTAATATGGTTTTGGTGTGTCCCCCACCAAGAGTTCATTTGTGGGATGTGTGGTCCTCTGTGTGATGGTGTTGAGGTGGAGGGACCTTTAAGAAGTGGGGCCTAATGGGAGGTCCTTAGGTCATTGGGGGCTGTCATCAAAGGTAGCTCTTGTGGGACCCTGAATTTGTTCTTGGCAGAGCAAGTTGTTATAAGAATGAACCTGACCTATGAATTGCTCTCTAGTTTCCTGTCTGCAGGTGATCTCTTTCTCCTGCATGGATTCCTGTCATGACACCATCTGACATTAGGCCCTCACCAGAGATCACACCAATGGGATCACCTGATCTTGGCCTTTTCACCTCTAAAACAAGCTAAATAAACCTCTTTTCTTTATAAAGTTACCCAGCGCCAGGCATTTTGTTTTAGTAATGAAAACCAGACTAACATAACAGAACACAATTGTTTTTAACCAGGAACCTAAGGTTGTGAATGCTGTCACATAACATTTGTTAATTCATTCAACAAATAAAAGGTCACTATGTTCCAGGCTCAGTGCTAGCCAGTAGGTCAATCCAACCTCAAGTGGGGTACTGATCCAGCACCACAGTCTCCCAGGAGCAGTGGGAGAGATTTGACCAGCCAGATGTGAGACTGGACTCCACTCTACTCAAAGCCCAAGAGGAAGCTCAACTCACTGACCTTATGAAGGTACGAAAGCCGGTTGGTCCCAACTTCATTGTCCCCCTGATTCCCAGGAACCGGATAAACAAATTTGCCATCCTGTCCACCAGGCGCAGGTAGTTGAACTGCTTTGCGTACTTGGGGAACACCTGCTTGAGGCAAATGGAGGGCAGGTGGGCTTCAGGACTGGAGTCTGGGGCCAGGTCACTGTCCAGAGAGTCTTCCTTTCCGGCCACTGGTTTTTGGAGCTGCTGATACCTGAAGTACACAAGGAATTCATGATAAATATATATACAGCTCTCTCCCTGCAAGTTCGCCTTGACTTTAGACCTACAATGACCTCAGGAAACCAGTATCATCACTATCTTTATTTTGCAGACCAGAAAACTGACCTCTGAGAAGTGACCTGCCCAGGCTCACCTAGCTTGTGTGTACTGGGGTTTGAACCCAGGGCAGAGTCAGGACCAGAGACTGAACACCACCTCCATTCTGCCAGCCTGGTTTCCCAATATGGAAAACTTCCTTTACTGTATTCATACTTCAAGAGAAGGCTCCATTCCGGAGCAGTCTGGGTTTGATTTCCAACTCCTACTTATGGGTGGTAATTGAATAATTAAGAAATATAAAAATCTCATTGAGAGCTGGCAAGAAGCCATAGGCACAGTTCAACGAACAATTTGCAAGGATGCCTGAGTTACCCATTTCTAGGAATAGGAACAATCACATTTTCTGGCTTAACTGTTTTCTTATTTGGAACTCATACAAAAACTGATCATAGCGTCGTGATTCCTTAGTCTGCATGTTTTATTCTGAAATTATTCACATAGTCAAGAAAATTAGCAGCTAATAACTCTCAAACATCCACCTGCAGCTCCGGATGCTCTTCTCACCTCTAGATCCACATTTCCCCTCACCCCAACTCTGCGTCCACATCTCCTCGAGTGTCACCACCATCTGCCAGTCACCCAAGCGGGAACAGTCAAGGTAGATGCAGCTCCTCCTCGCTCCCGTGGCCAGTTCCACCTCTGTGGGCCTGAAGCCAACTCTTGCTCTGCCCTGCCTAGACCTCATCACCTCCCACCTCCCATCGGGACCGTGGCACCAGGACCCTCCCTGGAGCCCTTCCCATTCCTTACACTATCCTCCCTGTGGGCACCTGCCTTGCTGTGTTTGAAGCACACCTGGTGGGGCTCCTTCCCTGCTAACTCTCCTCAGGATTCCCCAGTCTCTGTTCCTCATTCTAGTGCTCAAAGCCCTTCCTGATGTCTTCTCAGGCCTCCTTGTTCCCAGGTCCCTCCTGGCCAGGCACACTGTTCCTTGAACTTGCCCCTCCAGCCTCACCACCCATTGGCCTGGCCAAGACCGTTTCTTCTCTTTATGAAATGGCCTCAGGCCCGGAGCTCCACTTCCAAGCAAGCATGCCATCAGTCCCCAGGTCGGGCCGTCTTGGTTCCTTTGTACCTGCTTTCCCCAGCTCTGGCTGCCTGGCACTTCTCTGGCACACTTTAAAAATCCACCAAAGTGTCTCCCTAACCATGCTGATGCAATCCTTCCCGCCCAGCTCCCACCCTTGGGTGATCCCCCATCCTGCCCTGCACTGACTTCCGTGCCTGCCTCTGTATTCTGTGAGCTGACAGAAGGCCTGGGCCACGACTCATTCTTATTTCCGTAAGACCTGGCACATATTGGGTGCTTGGGGGAATGTTTTATTGAATTTGTTGAATGGGGAAAGTTTGCTTTTAACAGCAATGTGAGCCCCAAAGAAAATATCAAAGTTGTGAAGCTTCATAACCTATGAGCCCTTTTAAATGGGAAAGAAGATCAGAAGAGAAACCTTGCTTGACAGCCCAGCCCAGCTGGCCCTCTTCTCATACCGGTCTGAGAAGCCAGCCTCTGGGAAAGAGATCTCCCTCGTGTGAACAGAGAGTCAAGAAGTCCTGTCCACAGTTGCTTCCAGGTGGTCAGAGGACAGAACCAGAGTGGCATGAAGGGAACTCCCCTCAGAGTCCAACAGAGTGGAGGGCTTGGGGGAAACAAACTGCACAGAGGAGGGGCCTGATTCCCTGGGAGGCTAACATGCCCACGAGTGAGAGATTTTCCTCCAGCAAAAATGGTTTTGTCATCGTCACCTTGAACTTCAGACAGTAAATAAAAGTCAGGTGGTTACTTTTTGGATGAAATAAAGTGTTTTTTTCCACGAAGGTTATCGGAAGACAAATGAGAAAAAAAAAGTCACACTCTTCCTGTAAATTAGCTCTTAAATTGCTGGGTGAGTGGCAGTCACTGACAGGTAAGCACTTGGGAAGTTTTTGTTTGAGGGAAGGTTTGGAAACGTGCGGCTTGAATACACCATGTAACCATGAAAATGGCCCAGAGGACCCAGGTGCAGACTGTCCCAAATTTGTGATCTTGTTTGTCTTCTGCAACTCTGTGAGTTAGACTGTGGTTGTACTCCTGCTCCAGATGGGGAAACTGAGGCTCAGAAACCTCTTGGAGCTGTCTGAACCAGGATTATAAATCAGTTCCTCCAATCCAACACACCTTCTATTTTATCACCCCTTTATTTTAAGCCACATCATGATTTATGTTGCAGGTTACAAAACCTTAAATGATGTTTTTTATTTTAGATGTTAAAGAGCTTTACTTTTTAGATTGTAAAAGTAATTCATGCTTTTTGTAGACATGTTGAGAAATGCATAAAGGAATCAAAATCATTTCTAATCCCACAACTCAGAGATTAACACTATCAATATTTTGATATCTTATCTATATTTATAGATGGGATAACATTATGTGTAAGTTAAATCCTTTTTGCACATTACAAGCACCTTCCCATGGCATTTACATGTTTTCATGAGCATATTTCTCCTGAACATGCAGCATTTTGTATTCAGCCTGGACCAAAATGTAATTAACCATTTGTGCTCAGTTACTGCTCACATGGACTGTCATTTGATTAAATACAGTCTAGCCATCTGTCCCCTGAGTAATATGCTCTTTCCAAAGCATCACATGTCACAGCTACATTAGCTTTGGAGATCACTCTGGCCAGGGCTATCATTTTGTTGTGTAAAAACATAGACAACACAATATCCACTGTTTTGGCCACTTCGAAGTGTCCAATGCAGTGGTGTTTAGTAGATTTACAGTATCGTGTAACCACCATCACTATCTAGTTCCAGGACATTTTCACAACCATGTCATTTTAGAGAAGAACTTTAAACCCAGGTGGACAGGGACACCCGCAGCAGTGGTCATTTAATCAGCACATGGTCCCGGGTGGTGACTTAGCATGGGCTGCCGTGGTGATGGGGACCCTCACCACTTCCATGCTGGACAGGTTTTCCTGACAGTGTGCCAGAGGATGTCCCCTCAGGAGTCCGCCTGTGTCCCATCCTACCCTGGAGCTGACAGAATGAGTTTGTTTCCTCTTCTACCCTGTAGCATTTCACATTTCTTTCAAGGGTTTCTGCGTCTACTGAGGGCTACCAGTCCCCACCCTTCCTGAATCTCAATTAATAACCCCAGGACAAAAAGATGGCCACAGATGTCACGCTCCTGGATTCCAAACCACAATTCACAGGGAAGTGTTTTTATTCAACTGGAAGAATGCACTAAAGACATAGCTGATATATAAGAGGAAATAAAACAATGAGAAATGGTCTCTTTGCTGGAGATAATTGCAATTATCACATTGAGATCCAAGCCATCACAAATACTGAAAATCCTGTTTTTACTTAATAGCATTTTAATGGAAATGTCGGGCTTATGAAATAAAAGTGACTGGTAAAGAAAATATAAATCAAGCTTACTAGTCCTTTGGGATCGTTTTTTAAAAAATTGAATTTGGTATATCCTTGAATCATTAAAATAGGGGAAAGAATCCTGGGATGTTTTATCTGTTATTATTTTTCAAATAAAATGGAATTCTTTTTTTCATTAAAACTCTTGTGAAAAACCACCGATCTCTATTTTGCCTGGAAAGCTTACTGTTAAAAATTGCCACCATTTATTGGGACCTACTATATGTCACACATATTGTGCCAAGCTGTTTACCTCTATGCTAATTGGCTTCTCATGATGGTCCTATGAGATAGGTGGAAATGATTCCCATTTTGCAGATTAGGAATCCGAGGCAAAACAAGGGTAAACACTTGCCCAAACTCACACGACCAGTCATGGGCTCAGGATTTGTGGTTGGGACTCTCTAACTCCATGCCCCTCTTAGGACCCTCTATCAGTTTACCATATCATTCTTATACTATTTGATTTAAATCAAACCAAATCTTTCTTATGTATGAACCGTATGCTTTCCCAGAAATTAACAAAGTCAGGAGGTAGATACGGATATGGTGAGGTCAAATTCTAGCTTCAGAGAGTTTGCTTGAATTCTCTCTTAACAGAAATAATGTCCATCTCCGTGCCATCAATCATTTACCTAGGCATGAAAATACTCCCAAGCACTCCCACATCCCCAGGGTCTCTGGGTGACGTGGACAGAGTCCCTGCCACCCAGAAGCATGTGACCAGGCACAGGGGAACGAGCACCTACTGAGAGATGACTTGGTAGAGCCACGACGAGGCAGCCAGCTCTTAGTCTCGTCTTTCAGGGAAATGCAGCTTGGCTTGGTGGTGCCGGGATGAGGACGTGGTGGATTTCGAGGAGTGGCAAGGTCTGAACTGTGAGGAAGATGCCAGAGGAGAGTGGGAGAGTGGGCCATTTGGAAGCTGATGGAATAGTCTAGATCAACCATTTGGAAGGTGTGGTCAGTGGACCAACTGTATCAGCTCCTCCTGAGACACTGTTGGACATGTAACTGGTGGGAATCAGCCCAGACTTACAGATTTAGCACCTGGGAGTGGGCGGGGCAACCTATTCCAGCAAGCCCTGCGTCTAGCTCCGCGCAGGCTGGAGTGGAAGAATCTCTGGTCTAGGTGAAAGGAGAAGACACCTGAACTAGGACACCTGCGCTGGCATAGAGCCAGGGAGCTGACGCGGGAGACGCCTGGACTGGAATGCAGGGATGAAAAGGCAGAGAACACCCTGGATTGTGCTCCTGCAATTCTGTGGCTGGGCAGGACAGCCTGGTGGGCAGTGTTGCCTCGTGGCAGAGAAAGGTAAGCAGGCCCCTTCCCCTGCTATGTGGCCAAGATGTGTCCTTCTGTCACTCGATTTCGAATGTGCATGTTTCTTGTTGGCATTCCTGAAAGAAAATGCTAACCATGCGCCAAAGAAGTCCCTTAAATTAGGCCTGCAG